GATTAGCTCGATGCTGTGAGTTCTGGCGCCCGGTTCACAGACTTTCTGATTGGTGAAACGGTGGAGGGCGGGACATCGAAATGAAAACAGTAACAAGATTTAGGGGCTGTAAAACTAATTTGAAATCCAAATATCTCTGAAATACTGTTGTCAGTTAAAGAAGTATTGGAAAATAGCATGTTTTATTAATGCCTTTGGACAGATTAGGGCCCTTTAATGATGACTTGACATAAACATTTTACATATTGCTAATTTAATGTTGATCTCAGCAACTTCAAATGTATTAAAATGTCAAAAATATGCTAATTTCTAATTATGTGACACTGTGCAATTATGTACAGTAAGTATTTTCCAACAATGATATATTTAAAATAGTCCCTCCCTTTGTCATTACTACGTAGTAAGAAATCAGTAAGATTTTCTGTAGGAGAAGAGTTGAACCAATGACGAAGGGCCTTTGAATACATTTTGACCAATCAGGAAGCTACGCGGGTGAGTATGGGTGGGGCTAACCAGTACTTGTCGTCAAAAGGTTTCACTCCCACTTTCAATTTGAAAAAAATAAAATAAAATGACATTCACTTTAACTGGAGAGCTGTAAATAACTTTGTTTACCCTAACCCTAACCCTCTTCCAGCCTGTATGTGTTTACGCCTCTATTGTTATCATTGCAAAGGCTTTAAATCAGGCTTTTTATTGCTTTGTTTGAAATGTTTTGGACAGAGGACATGAGTGTACGCTCGTGTGGTCCACCGCAAAACCAAGACCAGAACCAGACGGATTGTAACACTATGAGGGGGATTTTTGTAGAGTTACTTAACTGGATGTACAAACTGAAAGGGCGTCTTTTCTGAACACGATTTATTTGAGGTTTTACAATATGATAACTGCTGTTTTCCCATGGCAAAAATAATGTTCTGTTGTATCCATCCATATTTGAGTCATTTAGCATCTGATCAGAATGTTAGCATGACTGATTCTCCGACCTTATGAGAAAAAGTAAAAAACTCATAAAAACAAAGTGCACCACAAGTGATCATAGAGGTACACTTTGGTCATCCCTGTAGGGCAATTTATTCTCTGCATTTGACCCATCCTGATGCTGCTAAGGCTTACGTCAGGAGCAGTGGTCGCCGTAGTAACAGCGCCCGGGAACCCATCTCCAGATGTGGATGCTCAGCTTGGTCAGAACTGGAGGATTTTACCTATTGTCCATGTTTTTAGTGGTAGGGGAAACCAGAGTACCCGGAGGAAACCTACGCAGGCACGGGGAGAACATGCAAACTCCACTCAGATACCCAGGATTTTCTTGCTGAGAAGCGGGAGTGCTATCTGCTCAGCCACCGTGCTGCCCGTTGAGGGTGGGTCAGGTTTGGATGGGTTTAAAACAATATTAAGCCAACAAAACAAGGAACAGGATGCATCAAAAATATTTCTTTGTCCTCTCTCTGTTTGTTCATGCTGCAAGAATGTACAAATAATTAAAATAAAGTATGTAATTTTAAAAAATGAAGCATTAAAATAATTGCATATTAGACACTATCATTTACAACAGAATAAAACCGCTGGTAAAACACGACAGTTTTTGTGTTTAAAGAGGATGCCCAGGGTCTTTCTCTGATCTCTAACTAAATAAAACAATAGGCAGAAGCTAAAGCTTATTGATGCCTACCCATTAGGCATCAATAACTTAAATACAAACACTTTACATGCTTAAATCTCGTACCATGAAACTCCTGTACGTTATTACTAAATGTGCATGTTTTTTCACAATAACCTCCCTAACCTTGTACATTTCTCAAGTTTTATCTTAGCTTACACTGCAAAAAAGGATAAAAGATGAGGTAATAATCGCTTAAATCAAGTGATTTTTATATTAATGAATTCATTCTGACTTGAAACAAGATTTGCAGACAGGACAAAGCAATTTAGTCAAATCTTGTTTTAAGGCAGTCAGAATGTGCAAAATTAAGATACATTTACGAACTTGAGCCATTTTGACTTATTCTTCTTCACTTTTTGCAGTGTCTTTCTGAACCACACCTCCAGCTTGTTGCCATGGATACAGGTCCCAGATTGCATCTTCCTCCTGCCATGTTGAAGTCTCCAAAGAGGCCAAGGCCAAGGTCTGAGAGGAGGAGGTGAAGAGCCATGTGTTCCCACTCTGGAGGTTTAGACTTTGACTAAAAGCAGACGTCCCGACTCCAAAAGTAATGAAGCTCCAAAGTCCCAGCTGAGAGCGCTGCTGCGGTGAAACAGTCAGCTCCAGTTTAAATAAATATGTCTTTATTATCAATGTCAGCGCAAAAAATTTTACGCTTGAGCTTGTCAGAGGTGGAAATCCTCACGAAGCTTATGTCGAATCTTATGGTGATTTAGTAACTTGCTGCTTGTGGCGAGTCAAGCTCAAGGTTCAGAAGTTTAAGGATGAAGAAAATGGACTGTTAATGAATGCATTTACTGTCTGTTATTACTGCTGTCTGTCTTGTCGGAAGAAGTTCTGCCCCTTGCCATATTCCCAATGTGTGTTTTAACATCTCAACAAGGTTTTCTTTTTACAATTTGCTGGTACAGAAGAACCAAATAACCATATTCTCCTTAGAAGACAAGATGTACCTTCCTAAACTTTACTATCACAATATTTAAATGAATTTTTGAGATAAAGTGAAAGAAAGAAATTAAAACGTTTTTTTAATTGAAATGCTTGATAAGTATGACATGTGTGACAAGGATGGATTGAATGACGAATTTAACAGTTACAGACCTGGCTGGTAAAGCAGATTCATGTGTACTGAGTTCAATTCAATTCACTGTATTTTTGGGAATTGGGAATGCAATGATAAAAAAAACACATAGAGACATTGGTCCATAGGGGGCGAACTATCAATGTCCATAAATGTCGAATGTCCTTGATGCTCTTTGTGGTGCTCATTCAAGGAGGAATATAAGTTGTGCATGGTTTCCTCTTGGCCTCTTGCTTCTGGCTTTAAATTTGGCTTAATTTTTTCAAACACAGACGCTATAGCTCGGTCTACAACCATCTCCTGCGTTGTTTACTGCTTTGCTGAACTGCAAACGGTTGCTGATTGGCCGATAAGCCATCTGGGTTTCTGCGATACCTGACCTTGTTTCTGGAGTGAAATGATGGCACCTGGTCTGACTAAGTGGATGTAGCCCAGTCTATAGATTTGTGTATAAGACTTAGGCTGTATTTCCTGATAATTTGATGAAGCTTCAAGATGCTTGCTCTTTGGTATTCGCTTTGTATGCTAGCAAAGTAATAGCAATGAGCCTGAATAAGCTTTGAACCCAATGGTAATTTGTGGTTTGTACGCCTCATGTCGCACTCACTGGGGTGCTAAATTCTTTCCCATATCTGATATTTTCATCTTCTCTCTTACATGACCAACATGGCCGCCATTGCAGTTCCCTAACTTTGACAGACAGTTCCTTTTGTTTACGTTACAGACCTACCACCCGACCACCAGCGCTTCCATGTGGTCCAGTGAACCTCGTAGCACTGTTTGCCATCATTTAGCCTATACACACACACACACACACACACACACACACACACACACACACACACACACACACACATATTCCTATAACACTCCACCGTCAGCTCTTGTATGTTTCATTTGGAGCTGTTTCAATGTCATTAGAGCCATAATGAATAAAGTGCACATGTTTCGCTGCCAATACAATAAATGTTACTGTAGCTGCTGATGGGCTGTGAGTGCAGGAAAAACCCACTTGCTGCTTTATTAGGGTTTTTGAGATTTTTATTGGCCGGTCCATCCAGATTATTGGATTGGAATGCCGTACAGTAGCATGTTTAAACCATAATCTGATGCGGAACAGAGTCACTTTTAATTCATTGGGGGAAATTGATAAATGGGACGTTTTATTGTCATGCATTTCATGTCGTAAGTTTCTTAATAGAAGTCAGCCTCAATATTTTGTCGTGTAGTTGTTACTGTACGTTCAAAGTTCCAGTTTACTGATGAATTTTGTCATTTCACCACTTCACATCAAGATGCAACAGGTTTTATAGAACTGTAGGCAACGTGAGCTGGGATTAGTCGTGATTATTTGTTCTTGCAATAGTAATTCTGCAAACCTATAGCTCAGTAGCTACCATTAGCTTGCCACCCTCTTCAAAGATAAGATAATTTTATGAGTTTAACTAATAATGATTAAAGTAGATTAATTTATGGCTAAAGCATTACACCAAAAAAAGTAAGAAATAATTCCCAAATTGGCCTAAATTGAATAGAAAGGAAAATAAATTATAAAACAACATTTACTAATTGAACACAGAATACATTTGCTGTTTCTGTGCTGGAAATAAGACTAAAGCTGGTTGTTCCATTGTTTTAAGAAAGTCCAAATGTTTTTAAATCAAGATAAAATGACTTAATCCATTGTAGTGCAACATTTTGTCTATGTCTAAAGAGTAGCTGTCTTATTTTGTTGAGCACTTTGAATTGCCTTGTGTATGAATGGTGCTATACAAATAAACTTGCTTTGCCATACTGTAGCTCCAGTGTTGTCCTGAAAAAAGCTCTCCAGGGAAAAGGTTGGTGCCCCCTGGCCTCCTGTATGTATTGTTTCTTTGCCAACATCCAATGCATTATTTGAAGAGCGTATACTTACTGCCTGGAATTGTTTATACTGGTCAGCAGTTTTATATGTCTCGAGTAAAATGTAGGCGCCAAAACAAAACTCCAAACGGTTTCACAGAGTTGGTGTGGAGGTTAGAGCGAATATTGGCATACATTTGGACACAGTAATAAATGGTATGCTCCATGTGCCAATGTAGGTCTGGCAATTCTCAAAATGTACTCTCTGTTCTCAACTCTGTTTTCAATGGTTTTTCTCACACAGTCAAATTCAATTACATCAACGTTGACATAACCTTTTTTCATATAGATAGAATTGGTTTCTAGAATTGGTTGAAATTGTCTTACGTCTTTTTCTTCCTGTCTTTTATGCAGGTACCAAATCCATACTGGCCTCCAACACTCCATCATCCGAGCCACCCAGCCCAACTGCCTGCCCCTGGAGAACGTCACCCTGCCCCAGAAGCTAAAGCAAGCCGGCTACACCACACACATGGTCGGGAAGTGGCACCTGGGTTTCTACAAACGCGGGTGCTTGCCAACTCAGCGCGGCTTCGACACTTTCTTTGGCTCGCTGCTCGGAAGCGGAGACTACTACAGCCACTACAAATGCGAAGGTACCGGGATGTGCGGCTACGACCTGTACGAGGGCGAAGAGGCGGCTTGGGACCAGGATCACGGAATGTATTCTACCATGATGTTGACAAGGAAGGCTATCAGTATCTTGGCTAACCACGATCCCAACCAGAAGCCTTTATTTCTCTACCTAGCATACCAGGCAGTCCACTCTCCGCTCCAGGTTCCTGCACGCTACCTTGAACGCTATAAGGGAATCCCAAACTTGACGCGACGTAAATATGCCGCCATGGTGTCTTGTCTCGACGAAGCCATCCACAATTTGACGATGGCGTTGAAGCGTTATGGTTACTACGACAACACAGTCATAGTGTACTCTTCGGATAATGGGGGTCAACCGATTGTTGGTGGAAGCAACTGGCCTTTAAGGGGAAGCAAGGCGACGTATTGGGAAGGTGGTATCAAGGCGGTCGGATTTGTTCATAGTCCGTTGTTGATGAACAAGGGGACAAAATGTCGGTCTTTGGTTCATATCACGGACTGGTTTCCTACCCTGGTTACTTTAGCGGAAGGTACCTTAGAAGAAGATCTTAATTTGGACGGGTATGACGTTTGGGAAGCTATCAGCGAAGGTCGACCATCTCCTCGGCAAGAAATTTTGCACAACATTGACCCAATTTATATCAAAGCTAAGAATGGTTCTTGGAAAGCCGGGTATGGGTTGTGGAATACTGCGATCCAGGCAGCTCTGCGGGTTGGTCATTGGAAGCTGCTAACTGGGGTACCTGGGTATAGCGACTGGGTTCCACCGCAAACGTTCTCGACGCAAAGATTGACCAACCGCTATCATAACGAACGCATCCGGTGGGACAGGGGTAAATCTCTGTGGCTTTTCAACATCACTGCCGATCCGTACGAGCGCGTGGATCTTTCTCAGAGGTACCCACACATTGTCAAGAAGATGCTAATGCGGCTAGCACAGTACAACAAGACCGCAGTGCCGGTGCGCTACCCGGCGAAAGACCTCCGATCCAACCCGCAATTCAATGGAGGGGTGTGGGGCCCGTGGTACAAGGATGAAAAAGATGAACAAGAGGAAGAAGACATGAACAATCATCTGACAGAACTTTCAAGTAAAAAGCGGTGGAAGAAGAAATTCAAACATCGGAAATTGAAGCGGCGAGTCGAGAAGTAAGACGCTGGTTTTTGTGAAAATTAGATCAAACTTTTCTCAGGGATTGACGTAAAGGAATGGGTGCTGAACATGAGACTCCAGTGTACTGAACTGTGATTTTTGCATTATAGAGTATGCTGTTAGAACTTCTTTGAACACTACTGTCAAGCCAAGATGCGACGGAGACCTCATGAATGTTTTGATTCTGTCGATCAATTTATTTCATACAGAGTCTATACAACTGATCAACACCTTGGTGAGCTTTTGCCCCACGGATGGCTGTCGTGACAATGCATTAAAACATGCAACATTGAATGGTTTCAAACTTTGTTGCTGTGAAACTAGTGAGCACTTGCTAAATATCTCATAAATGTTTATTTTTTTCACTTTAAAACACTTTTGAATTTCAATGTGGCCTTCACACAATGGTCACTCACATGGAGCAACATATCTCAGATGACAGTGCTCTATTGTTTTGTGTTTTGTTTGTTCGTTTCTGTTACTGTTTAAAAGCCCATTGCAAAAGGCATGGGTCTAATAAAGCTGTGATGTCACTTAGAATAGAAAATTCATCGAAAAGACGGACTTGAACCCAAATATATTTGTACTGTACATGTGGACTTACTTAAAGAGAACTTATATTTTTCTACATTGTGTTGCATGCTTGAACTAGACTCTATTCTTTCCCGACTTTTCCTCCTCGGCAATCACAGTTGCCATATATCGTGGTGATGGATACCGGATAAATCATAGATCTAGTACATAATGTGAGTTTAAGAGACAGAGAATTTATGTGATGTGTAAATGGATGCGTAGGTTTTATAAGCACAGTTGGCCTTTATTGAAAGAGTATGTCCCCCCCTCCTTTTGTCCGATTTGGTCTTTTTCTGGGACAAAGCCAAAGTGAATGTAAGACAAACTGACCCAATAAAAGTCTTGGACACAAAGCCCTATGTCTCTTAATGTCTGCTTTCGATTTCATTTCTCTAGTTTCGCCTTTTTATGTAGGTTTTTTATTGGCATTTTGACTCAACGCCAAACATTACAAATGAAGAGTGCTCCACAGAACGTTCAAATATTGCTGTATAAATCTGGAATCTATATGCTCTTGTCAAATTATATTTTAATGACACTGTAACCCACAAGAAAGGGTCTTCAAATATAAAGGTGAAGTAAAGGGTATTTTGAAGCTAACAAGCTAATTACACAGCAAGAAATATGATGTTGAACTTCAGCAAAAAACCAGCTGCAAGAAATCTCCACAAAATATTATTCTTAACTAGAAGAAAAGTAAGTTTGGTTCATGATTGTTCCAAGGCCAATAGTATATCATTATTGTTTTTTAGTTTTAAACAACATTCTAGGGTTGGAAGATCACTTGGATTATTCAGTGGACATTGAACGCCAAAAAGGTTATTGCGATATCATTTATTAAAATTAAATTAATTTGGTTCGCTTTTTCATGTTCTATTCTAGTCTTTTCTGTTACCGGGGCTAACAACAGACACACCTACACTATGGCCCCTGGGAAAATTGGGGCTGTAAAGGTTTTATTCTTGGCCTTTAAGCATCCTGGATATTTTACTACCTATCTTTTTTAAACCAAAATTGTGATTTATTATGTGTCTTTTTCAGGGATTCCCATTGTCCTTCATTCCCATGTTTCTCAGTTTGAAGTCGGAACGGTATTAAGTCATTGTATCACTATGACATCACGCTCACAGAGAGTTTTGCCTTTTTAAAACAAAAATAGTGCCTGTATTTTTTGCCAATTTCTGATGGAAATTTGCAATCACGTGTCTGCAGAAGTAAAATTTCAAATCTGGATAAAAACCAAAAAAAAGCATCTAGGATAAATAATGCTATCGGCTTGCCGCCCTACTAGCTAGCTAATTCTCTGAACCGCTAGCTGTGATAAAAGAGCACCTTGCATGCGGCTGCTCATTTAGCATCTAAGCATAATTATTTTTAAGATAACAATTCTACTCATCCTTCTGGTGGTAGCTTAGGGATAGAACCGGCCGACGGCATTATTTAGCCTAGACACTAGTTTTACCATATACAGTATACTGTATATAAAAAAAAAGATATTACTTCACATTCTAAAACATGAAAGGACAAACGTAAATAGTCACTTTCTCATTTTTAAAGGCCAAAAAATGCTTAATATTTATAGATGATATAGGAGTTTGAGGGTATTTTGAAAGCAACATATAATTTCCTCCACTATACCAACTTTAAACCTAGCATTTAGCTACAGTCGTGATGTCTTGTCCTCTAAACCTGGATCTCTGACTGCGCACTTCTGTGGTTGAATGTGTGGTTAGAGGAGAGGCAAAAAACAGTAGACGGGTCTTTTCCTTCAGAAAGCCTTCCAGCCCCCTCCCAGCAGCCCCAGATGGATATCCTGCCGTTGCACTGAAGTCTTTGCCAACACATGAGCTCAGAGCAGCCGAGCCTTCGCTGGAACTCCACTTAATGTGCTAACAGATTACACTGATGGCACCTTTGCTCTTTGGTGCCCATAAATCCTCAAGTGCCAAACTGGAGACTGTTTTTTGTAGGAAATTATGCAACTGGGAGGCTTCCAAAAAATCATGACAAGTGAAAAAAAAAAAATGCAATGATGGAGTGGCTGTATCGAACTGTTGTAGTGAAGAGGAAGCAGCGTCGAAAGGCAAAGCTCTTGATTAACCGACTGACAACACTGCAAAAAATTATAAAATATGGTATAATAATAGCTTGAATTCGTTTTTTTTTTTTAAATCTTAATTTGAGCACTTTCTGACTGTCTTAAAATAAGATTAGCCAATGGGACACAGCCATTTAGTCTTATTTCAAGAAATTTTGCTTTATTTTCTCATTCTCATTTTATACTTATTTTTCATCACTTTTGCCAGTGTTTTCATTCTCACCCTCACTTACAGTCATGGGCCTAATGTGGAACCCCATTTTTAAACTTGCAGAGGTTTTCGGGGAGTTCATTTTCTCTTATATAAGTACTCCTCTTATGTAAGGCAACAATCTAGCAGGACTTTTGCTTTTGCCAATTTTCACTCTGCATCCCTGGATCTACCCTTCACCAGAGAGTCGTCTACAGGCCAGAGCTGTCTCTTTTTAGCCTAATCCGCATCTGACAGCGATAGAAGATCCCTGTGTTTGGATACTTGAGGCCGAGTTCCCGGTCCCACAGGGCTCTGGAACAGTTAAACCACCGGATTCGTTTGGGAATTGCAATCTTATACATTTGTTTTTGCTTACAGCCATCCATTCAAATCCCCCATATGGGAAAGTGCACGTTTAGTAACCGAGCTTAAGGGCCATACATCAAACTGCCTGCCGTTGCTGCTTTACATTAGCAAAGCCATTAGCGCTGTGGGTAAAGCTTGATATAGAGCAGAGAAGGCTTTGATCCAGTGGGAGTGTAGCGGAGTCTGGGCTGACAACACGGTTAGAAGCAGGCCCGTCCCAAGGAGGGTGCGAGGCCCTGTGCGAACTCGAAACGCGAGGCCCTGCCCTGACACTTTTTTCCCAGATCTGAGGAAAGTTTTTCCTGTTATAATCTTTGACATGAATTCAGCACCACCTCGCGCGGTGCTTGACGAGATCAGCACGCGTGTAACCGAGTGTCTTCGCTCCTATGCAGCGTTTGGCGCGCGCACGTACACACGCACACACACTCTACGTGCAATATTGGTCGCGGTCTTTTTAGCTGACATGTCTCTTTCGTCCTGTGGCAAAATGGTAGAGCAACTCAAAAGATTGAACCAAAAGGAGTCTTTTTCTTCTAATAGTTAGATTTTGGCAAAATGCGCCAAAATGGCTATGAGGCGGAGTCAATATTATTTTTTTCTCATCAAATAACGTTTTTGCCATGCCTCCACACACTCTGACAACATACACTCCTCCTCCTCCACGCTGACAACAACAAAATACTCTTCACCTCCTCCTCCACACACTCTGACCACAACAAAAACACTCCAGCTAGCTAAAGCTAGACATACAGTGTGTTTGCTAATGCTTTTAAAAATATGTTTTTGATGTGGATATTCGGACTAAACATTGGCAATAGCAGCGCTCACACACCTGTCACACCGCTGATCCTCCTCCTCCTCCTCTGCTCACACAAAGGGGTCTGCTCCTCTGCTCACACCTGTCTCACTGCTCCTCCTCCGCGAGTATCCATCTCTCCTACACTGCGATCATTCCCGTTACTTTCTTTGTATCTCACTCAGACACTGCTAAAGTTATCTGACAGTTTTTTCGGAGGACCCGTTGCATACATAGCTGCCCGCGCGCCTGCCTGTTTACAAATCGCTTTTGGTGAAAATTTGACTTTACTTGTAAAAATGTTCTTTTGATCAAACGAAATCAAAGAGGTCCAGAGAAAGGGGTTTAGGGTTCCAAATTTGGAGTGCAGTCTGCCCTTTGGGGACCCTTGAACTAGTGTATTTATAAAATAAAATAAAAGGAAGGAAGATTGCGAGGCCCCTGTGTGGTGCGAGGCCCTGTGCGATGGCACAGGTCGCACAGCCCTTAGGACGGGCCTGGTTAGAAGTGCCAATGATGCAGAAAATGTGAAGTTAAAGTGGGATAGACTCTCATCAACTCATTAAATGTACAAAAATCCAACAGTTTTATTGACAGTCAGTACATTTACCATTGTTTAAACTTGGGGTTCCGTCACCTTTTTATTCTTTATGAAGGTCCTAAGTAGCTCTGAAACAATTTTTGTTGCGGAGAGGATTTATGGTCCGAACCAAGTGGATCAGATGAAAATCCACTGGAGGAATGCTAACTTATTGAAAAATGCTAATGAACCATTCAGCATTTTACTTTGGACTAGAGCAGAGAAAATGGTCTGAACCACCATGTGACCTGTCCTGCTCCACCCAGAGGCTACTCCACCTTGTGACCCGTCCTGCTCCACCCAGAGGTTACTCCATCTCTGCTGCTCTGACCCGTCCTGCTCCACCCAGAGGCTACTCCACCTTGTGACCCGTCCTGCTCCACCCAGAGGCTACTCCACCTTGTGACCCGTCCTGCTCCACCCAGAGGCTACTCCACCTCTGCTGCTGTGACCCGTCCTGCTCCACCCAGAGGCTACTCCACCTCTGCTGCTGTGACCTGAAGGGCTGTTGCTGATAATTACTATTGTTAGCTTTTTTGAATGATCACTTTAATTTTTTATTTTTGCTGCTACTGGACACCTGAATTTCTCCGACGGGGATCAATATAGTATCTATCTATCTATAAAAATTTTCCCAATAAAAAAGTCTGGTAAAAGTAATGCAAGAATCTGGGCCAAAATCCCCCGTGAACCAGCCTTGAAGACCTGTTGTGAACAAATGTCATCTCGGAGGACTTTCCAAAGCTGTCGATTCGCCAACACAGATCAGAGAATCAAACCGTTTAAACACAAGGAATGCAATGATAAAAAACACATAGAGCCGTTGGTCCATAAGGGGCCGAGACCAATGTCAATAAATGTTGAAAAATTCCATAAATGTTGTTGAATGTCGGGTGTCCTGGATCATCACCACTGTCCTTAGATCCTCATGCATCGGTGAGGAACAACTCGAAAAACCCAGTTGGAGAAAATGAGAAATCTCAGGAAGGCTCAAATCTGATCCACAACGCTGTCTTTATTTTATTAGAAAACCTTTTATCCTCAGCATTGTGGTAAGAAAGAGCCTGGTGAGTCACTATTTGACACTTTGGGCTGAGAACTGAGTGAGGGTAGTCCATTTTTTTTACTGAGAGCAAGGAACTATAAAATACTACATATTTCAAATGTGTGTGGTCTGAAAGTTAGGTACCCTAGCTTTAATGCTTATAGTTTTGCGGTGAGAAGGGCAGAACAGGGGATTTTAGGGAAACAAACCACATTCTGTTATGATGACATTGGGTTTCCTCACAGTTTGAAAGTATGGATGCGATCATGGTCACGGTGCTGGAAGGAGGTTGAACCCATGGAGAGAGTGCGGACAGCAACCTTGGCTAAAGTTTCAGTGCTGTAAGTGTGTGATTAAGATTAGTGTCTTGCCTAAATAAATCCCAAAATGTGCCAAAATGCCTATTAAAAACTCAAAAGAACTCAGAAAAAAATTGCCATATCTAATTGGTTTTAATTATGTATTGATTGTTTCTTGATGGGAATTATTTGCAAAAAAAAAATAAAACACATTATTTTGTTGGTAAAGTTTTGCACTTTTATTTTGACTGTAGACTGTTGAAGACAAACGAACCAAAACAATAGGACACAGGTCTGCAGCTGATTTAATACAAGTGACCCAGCCTCGGACCCAACTTCAGACCCAGCTTCAGACCCGGCCTCGGACCCAGCTTCAGACCCAGCCTCGGACCCAACTTCAGACCCAGCATCAGACCCAGCTTCAGACCCGGCCTCGGACCCAGCTTCAGACCCAGCCTCGGATCCAACGTCAGACCCAGCATCAGACCCAGCATCAGACCCAGCTTCAAACCCGGCCTTGGACCCAGCTTCAGACCCAGCATCAGACCCAGCATCAGACCCAGCATCAGACCCAGCATCAGACCCAGCCTCGGACCCAGCTTCAGACCCAGCATCAGACCCAGCTTCAGATCTAACATCTCTGACCCAGCCTCGGACCCAGCTTCAGACCCAGCATCAGACCCAGCATCAGACCCAGCTTCAGACCCGGCCTCGGACCCAGCTTCAGACCCAGCATCAGACCCAGCATCAGACCCAGCATCAGACCCGATCCTCGGACCCAGCTTCAGACTCAGCATCAGACACAGCATCAGACCCAGCCTCGGACCCAGCTTCAGACCCAGCATCAGACCCAGCATCAGACCCAGCCTCAGACCCAGCCTCAGACCCAGCTTCAGACTCAGCCTCAGACCCAGCTTCAGACCCAGCCTCAAGCCCAGCTTCAGATCCAGCCTTAGACCCAGCCTTAGACCCAGCCTCAGATCCAGCCTCAGACCGAGCTTCAGACCGAGCTTCAGACCCAGCCTCAGACCGAGCCTCAGACCCAGCCTTAGAACCAGCCTCAGACCCAGCCTCGGATCCAACCTTAGACCCAGCCTCGGACCCTGCCTCAGACCCAGCATCGGACCCTGCCTCAGACCCAGCCTCAGACCTGCGTGGGGATTTCCTCATGAGCCATTTCATGTGAGCACAACTGGAACTGCTCAAACTGGACCACTCCCTGTACTTCACTGTTCACCGCGTCCACTCCTCTGACCACTGTACGTTTGTTATTGTTTCTTTGTAATTCTGTAATTCTACAAGCTTATATAAGGGACTGAGTCAGAAGCTTGGAGTAGAGCCAATGCTCATTCACACATTGGTTTCAGATTATATTCAGATTCAAATAAATATATGTAGTTTCTTTTCAACTGTCCTTCAATTATTATTATTCCTTTATGCTTTCATCAAAATGAGTTTCCTGCTCAGAGGTGGCATATCCTGAGGGGTTATGGCACGGTGGCGTAGGGGTTAGCACTCCCGCTTCTCAGCAAGAAGGTCCTGGGTTAGATTCTACCTTTGGACAGGGCCATTCTGAGTGGAGTTTGCATGTTCTCTCCGTGTCTGCGCATCGCATAGGTTTCCTCCAGGGGCTCCAGTTTTCCTCTACCATCAAAAACATGTATGATTTGTTCTGGGGTACTGGACTCTGAGTACAAGACCACAAACTAACCCTCATATCCTCCCACATCTACACATCTCTGCCTCAAAAGCATTCAGCTCACGCAACAACTCACCTCCTCCCCATCACCACTTCAGCTTCCTTCTGCTTTCATAATAATCTCTCTCCTACATACAGACTGCTATATTTCTGCCATTAACTAAAATATTCACAGCACATGTCCATGAATATGATTTAGTAAACTGTACATACTATACTTCTGCTGGATCTAAGTGTCTACTCTTGCAGTGACAAAAAATACTACCTTAAAAATACTTGTGATTCATCCTACCAACAGTCAAATCACAACCCTGCCATGATTATCTATTGTCCGCCTAGCCGCCCAACCAGTGGAACATGCATCTTTGTACAGATGCTTTGTTTAGTGCATGCCCCTGTGTAATGTCCAGTGCATCTTTCCCTCATTAGTCAATCCTCTCCGATTGTGGTTTATAAAATGACCCGTAGGTAGAAACACAATCTCCCCTGGTACCACCTGTTTCGTCACATACTGTAACAGACACTATATACACAATGCTTTTACCATTAGAGCAAAGAAAAGACCAGCTGAACGCCACTGTCCATTAAAACACAATATCTCAGTTTGCGTAATGTTGTCCCGGCGTCGTCATGGTTGCGCCCGGACCACACAACCAACTCCCTTCCTTCCTATATACTGCAATGGTTTTTTCTGTTTTTTTTGTAGGATGTGTTATTTATCTTTTAATGGGAGACTTTGCAGCAACTTCATCTCAGACAGTGGAAAATAGTGTGTTTTTGAAGATCCATTTCCATCCAGGCTTCACAGAATCATCGCCCGATATACTTTCACTGCCAGCCCATACATTTTCCCCATTTCCTTTCCCATATTTCACACTTGGAATGCATCTGCGGGACTGTTGGGGGATTTCTGCTCTCTTTTTTCGTCCGTGCATTACAGATGTACAACTTTTGCATGAGCCACACGGTTTTACGAGTATGCACATGGATTATCTACGGTCGTATCTGCGGATAAATTGGTTTTAAGTCGGGGGGAAAGGAGACAAGGTGTCGTGGAGAGATGCTGGGATTAGGATTTGAATGGTTCCCACATGGCGTCATGGTGGAGGCCTCAGCTGTTCTCAGGCCTGGCTCTGGTCCAGACTCTGACAGAACCAAAGTCAATTTTCTCTGCTTTTGGTTGTAATGAAGAAAAAAGGTCTGGATGTGTTTCAAGAGAGGTCATCCACCTGTTAGTGACGGCTGCGGAAAGAAGGACAAAGGCAAGATTATTGGGGAAAAGTATCTGAACAGTAACTTAAGTAGCTTGCCAGATTTACTAATAAAGTTTAGCACATTCTGTCATGTTTATTACCACAAACGTTAAGATTTGTTTTTATCTTTATTTTGAAAGACCATATAGTAATACAAGATTTTGTTATTTAAAAAAAAAAAGAAACCTGAAAAGTCGGATTTGCAAAAGTCCTCATACAACTTGCCTTACTTTATCATTAGAAACTTTATTGACAAAGCTAAACAGTCTGGGTTTTCTTGCTTTTGTGTTTTCACATAAAACGTATATTGGTTTTGCTAAGCCGTGAACCTATAGTATCACAAAACGCTTTCATTTCTTTCGATTTTACCATTTATCTTCAAATGTGTCATAAAACACAGACATGGGAAAGTACAATGATCCAGACATCGACAGAACCAAAGTTAGTTTGCTCTGCTTGTAGTTGTAAAGAAGAAGAAAAAAGGACTGGATGTGTTTCAAGAGAGATCCTCCACCTGTAAGTGACTGCTGCGGAAAGAAATGGGGTAATTAATTCTGAACGGCTGCTTCTGAAGTATGAATGAACTGAGGAACTTTTGCACATTTTGTCATTTTTTGAAAGACCACAATAAAGTACATCAGCCTGAGTCCTGGATCTACAGCCTGAGTCCTGGATCTACAGTCTGAGTCCTGGATCTACAGTCTGAGTCCTGGATCTACAGTCTGAGTCCTGGATCTACAGCCTGAGTCCTGGATCTACAGCCTCTCTGACAGTGGGAGTAGGTAGATCTATCAGTATGTGCCTCCCCAAGGTTTCTAACTTTTTTTCCAACTGGGAAACTTTATCCTTTTTCTGAGGCTATAGAGACTGAAGGTTTTGCCCATTTGTCTTTACAGAACAACTTTTTCCACAGATTTGGACTTGATTGTAAAGATAGAGAAAGTTATTAAAGTAAGCAAAACGGTGTACGCCTGTTAACAACAGCACTAGTGGTTAGATATATTTATAGTACAGTTTTATAGTTCTATTGGCTTTAATCCAATCATTAATCTGTAAATATTATCATATTCTGTTTAGCTGTGCTGAAACCTGGGGGATTGTATCTTCACTCTTTTGAATGCACTGTGATTATTGATGATTTTAATCTTGTTTTGGAGTTGCCTTGTGTATGAACTGTGCCATACAAATGAACTCGATCCTGGGTTCGAATCCCGGTCGGAACAGGGTCTTTCTGAGTGGAGTTCTCCCTGTGTCTGTGTAAGTTTCCTCCGGGTGTAATATCGTTATTTGTGTATTTATTTACACATGTGATTTTATATTGTTTGCATGGATGCCAAGTTTATCTCTTTTTAACTGAAAAAAGAATCTACCCACGGGTATAAAAAAGTCCCCTTGGTTCTCTGGTTTTCCCCACCACTAAAAACATGCATAATAGGTCAAACTTCCAGATCCAGTCCTGACCAAGCATCAACATCCGGAGATGGGTTCCCGGGGGCTGTTACTACTGTACGGCGACCACTGCTTCTGATAGAGCTCTAATGCCATCAGGATGGGTCAAATGCAGAGGATGAATTGCCCTACATGGATAAATAAAGTGCACCTTTACCATGTGCCATTCGAAACTTTACAGACAGAGATACACAGGCTGGATTTTCCTGCTTTAAATTGTTCTCATAAAACCTATACATTGGTTTAGCAAAACCGTGTAATTGCAAGCATCACAAAACGCGTTCACTTCTTTCCATTGTACCTTTGAATCTTCAAATGTGTCAGAAAACACAGACGTAGGAAAGTACTGTGTCTGAAATCTTGTATTTTCCTCCACCAATCATGTGTGAACAGCTGCACGTTGTCTCAGAGGAGCCTCTTCTCTCTCCAGATGTGGTCTTGGACTCTGTCTGAGTCTCCAGCTGTTTCAATCCAGGCCTCAACACGGCTCCATGGACCAGGCACTGATCTCTGTAACAGGGAGGACCGGGCAAAGATCAGGGGAGTCCAAACCTTTTAGAGAGAGGGCCACTCTGGTTCACCACATTTGCCCAGGAGCCGAGACATCATAGATTTTAATAATAAAAACAATGCATTGGTTTTAAACTGTGGTTTTTTTGGACACTCAAGGATGCTTCACATATCAATTTTTTTTCACTTCGACTACTAATGAAGCCACAGCTGCCCTGGGGCACATTAACAGGAGCGAGGTGACCAGTATGTGTCATCAGCCCCCCCGACCACCACACACACAAACACACCAGACTCATTCTGGTCAATGTGGGTGACGTGTCTTGCCTACACCCGCAGCCGCCCCACTGTGGCACCTGGTGTTTCCAGAGGTCTCCCATCACAGTACAAACCAGCCCCTGCCCTGCTTACCTTCAGAGGTCTGACGCGATGTGGCTTTGACTGAAGTCAAGCTGATCAGGGCTTTTTACAACAAGGTATTACATCGGAGCTGAAGTTGGTTGAATAATACATGTTTACTTTCTCACCAGCGACATCAGCACCACAGACAGAATGCTTTTTACGACCCAATAAAAACTCATGTCAGTTGTTTTGTTTGCATCAATAAGGATAAAAAAGACAAATGTCAGTAAATACAAATAGATTAAACTGGATCCCAGAGGTCCTGAGCTTTACAACGAGCTGAAACATGTCTACTGTATATTTCATTCTGTGTAGCAGCGCCCCCCTGTGGACATTTAGTGTAATTACATTCATTCATAAAGAAACCATCAAACCTAATCGGTGACGAAAGGCCTTTAACCTTAAAGTAAATTAATAATAATTCACTTTTCATTAATCAGTTAGATTTGTTATTTATTTATTAGACTTATATAGACTTGCAGGATTCTGTTCATAAGTGCTTGAATGTAGTGTGTTTATTTTAAGTTTATAAGCTGCAAGACGCAATATAACCCGAAAGATTTTGCAATTTGTAAGTCTTACACGTTCATTTTAAATGCATTTAATAATATCTTCTTTAAAGGCTTAAATGGTTTGGTTGAAACGTTCTATATTTTGGGTTTTACAATATTTACACTGTCTTTTTGGCAACATATTTCTTCATTTTGAATTCAATCCTAATGTTTCCAAAGAAAAAAATGCTTTAGCTGCAGCCTGTTTTTACATTCTACTTGTTGGACAATAATAATAATAAAACCATTTCCTTCTGATCCGTTTGATGTGTGAAATTGTCAACACTCCTCATCACTGGGGGCCCATGGGCGGGAGATCCCTTCAGGTTTCAGAGGAGGAGGAGGAGGGGCTGGGGGTTTCTGTCAGATCTAAATATAGAGCGTTGCCATGGATACGGTCCTGATGCAGCCAGCCATCATGGTTTGTGAATGATCTGAACGATGACTGGGCCAGTGTGTAGTGACCACTTTATTGGGGCTTCCTCACTCAGATTTCAGGAGATTATCATTAAACGGCACGGGATTCTCCATGAGGTTTGTGGTGTGGATATGTGGCACTTTTCTGTTGTTGATTCAACCCTCTAGGCGCCACGTTGACTAAAATCGTCAATGTGTGGTCCTGTATAAACGGCCATTTGTGTCAAAATTCATTCAAACTCCCTGCCACACTTTTTTTTTGCACTGTTTTACCATTTCCCGGACCATTGAGTGTGGTATAATGGGAGTTCTGTTTGTGTTTCATATCCTAGTGATCTGTGTCTGTCAGTAAAACCACATGAAGTCATAATTAGATGGGTACATTTAATTCCTACATAAACTTTGGGCAATCCTTATAATTTCTCTAATTTACATAAAGCCTCTATCTCTCATCACTTTTAAGTTATCATGATATTAAGATGAAAAATATGGCCTCTTGGGAAAAAACCTCTGGCGCCTAAAGGGTTAAGATAATGTGGTTATTCACGCTTGGCTGATAAATTATATATATAACCTTAATTAGAACATGCGTAGACAGCATTTAGCAACACATTTCACACTCGAGCTTGATCCATGCTAAGATTTTGGACTCATAAAACATTACAGATGGCAGTGAATCAAACACAATATAGTGAAAATGCAAAACAAAAACCAATTCCCTCAATCACAACAGCAGTGATCTTGGTGGACTTGTTGTTCATTCACCAACAGCAGATCAGAGAATCAAACACATAGGAGCCATTGGTCCATATAGGGAGGGGAATGACCACTGTCTATAAATGTTAATAAAGGTTTATACATGTTAATACATTTTAATAAAGGTCCAGGATTATCGCTGTACTTATACCTTTCTGCAATAGCAACTTAACTCATATATTTTTGGTCCGAAAATTTGTCAAGATGTTAATTACTAGTATTTTCCCATCATTTCTTTGTTATGAAAACTATTATGCGTTTGACCCGCTGTGCAAAATCTTTCACACTGACCCTGACCTACACCCATGGGTAATAAAGGCAAATATAGAACACAAGAACCTGTATGTGCTACTGTAATATTTATGATCACTTCACATCTCATTCAGCTTGTAATTTAAATAAACATGATATAAAACCTGGTTGAACATTCACCTCTGACACGTAGAAGTGAACAGCCATCGGAGTGTATACTGGACCAGAAGATTTATCTAAGCAGAGGTCAAGGGAAGCCTGGTCTTAGCCATCGGTAAAATCCGGTTAATTATCATTTAAAATGTAATTTGTACGATGGTGTGGTACGACCAGGCTTGGTCAAGGGAAGTGTGTCCACAAACTGAATGTATAATGTATGTATAAAGTCTGTTTCTGGGAACCAAAAACAATCATTTATACAGTATTTTCTACTTGCGTCTTTATTCTGCTAGAAATAGAAATGGTATACTTAATTCTTTCTTCTTTATTATGCTAAAGTTAGAGATTTTATGCTTGCTTCTTTATCATGCTAAAATTAGACATTTTTTATTATATTTTAGTATCGAGTTATTGTTAATCTCTTGTGTGTTGTGTGCTCCTCATTCCTACTGTTCTGTAACCGGTGATGCAACAATGAAATTGTTTGTAATCTTACTTCAGTTTCGTCTTAGTTTAGCAGAGTTTAGCAATAAGTCATTGACATACCAAACAAAATAAGATAGTTGAAAATCATTGTAATAATCATGTAGTAGTCAAGTGTTGAATGGATGCGCCTGGTGAAGCTGCAGTCCCATCTCGCGTCTATAGGTGGCGCGCTTGTGCAGCTTTTGATACAAGGAAGAAGCGTCTCCTCTGACAGGGCTCTAAGCCATGGAGCTCTAAGCTCAGTCTGTTTCTGCGTCAAGTCGCCAAACACAACCGGATGTGGAGTTATTATTAGTTTCTCAATAAAACGACACTCTTCAAGAAAGGAAAAAAAAAACCCTGGTTTGAATTGTTATGTTTTAGTTGTTGAGGCCTAAAGAAATGAAAAGGCTGAAAGATGGATTGCTTGATGTTATCATTGGTGTTAGAGTGTATAAAACAGGTTTAAACCCACAACGAGCAAGATCCTTATTATACACAACTAACCCCTCCTACAGAAAATAAGACCTATTATACAGTAACATTGTCATTCGTCTTGTCACGATCCTAAAATTGCGAACTCGTTTCCGATGCAAAGAAATAGACCTGATACTTAATAACTTTTGTCCATGAATGTTAATGAATGTACATAAAAGTCCTGGGTCATCGCTGTCCTTAGACCCTCCTGCATCAGCAAGGATACAATAAATAAATAAATAAATGCAAATAATAAAACAGTAATAAATAAACAAATAAACAATACACAAATTACAATAAACGAGAGACGCTGTCTTTCTTAAATCGTCTAATAATCTCCTTTTCTTTGTGCTTTTATTATGACACGCTCTTCCGGATCTTTTCGCCCTGAACACTGCCACCTTATTACATGTGAACTAATCCAGGAGCGCAGAGACACACGCACACAGCAGCAGCAGTTCGAGACGTGCCTGTCCACTCGAGCACTGGACCCGGGGGAGAAAGTACTGCCAAACCCGTAAACCTCCTCGTATTCCTGCTTTTACCCATAACCACATCCATTCCTGAACCTACAAGTTTTTGCGCGGGGGAAAAAAACTCCACAGGCGCGACTTTCTCCTCACCTGAACATGGCTTCTACCACCTGCACAAGATTTACGGACGAATACCAGCTTTACGAAGAGCTGGGGAAGTAAGTATAAACTATAAACTTTACATTAATTATGCAAACAAACCGCATCAGACGAAATACAGTTGTTGATGTGAATTGATTGCGTGTAATCATAGCATCTCACCTCTGCTACCTGTTGTTTTTTCTGCCTCTTAATTAAAACCTCAGTTCACACAAACACTTGTAAAAAGGTCTAGTTATGTTTAGAATTGTCTGTAAATTGATCGTATGCCATGGTTTGTTCATGTTTTGCTGGTGAACTTTTTCGCGTTGCCGCCCTGTCCATGGTTGCATCCGAATTCATATCATTTCTTGCTTCCTTTTTGAGTGGTTCCTTCGCCGATGCAGGACAGTGATGATCCAGGATCTTTAAGCTACCCTCTTCTCATAATGAACCACCACTCTGAATGACCCTGGGGTGGTCAAGTTACGAGAAATCATCAAAATTCAGCTAAAGAAATGTATAATTTGGGTATTTTTGTAATCACTGTGGCGGGTCAATTTGATTTTTAAGGACATTGACTTAACACTTATGGACAGTAGTCAATGCCGCCATTTTTCCACTCCACTTTTCTTTAATATAGAAACACTGACTTTAAATTGACTAGAGATTGAGCATTAATTGTTTAAAGCTGGCATGTCCAAACTAAAGACCAGTTACAGCCCTTTAAGGTTATAAACACAAGCTTACAGTGTCATCCAGCCAACTTCAGCTCCACCAATATAGACAAGTTGTACCTTGTTGTGAAGCTGAGAACCTCTGGAATCCACTTTATATGTATATACTGACATGTGTCTTTTGATTGTGTCACAAAACTCCTACTTTCTATGTTGCTAATGCAGCTGGTGAGATTGTAAACATTTGTCATTCCACCCACAACAGCTCTGACGTCACACCTCATTTTAAAATCCCAGAACAGTCAGACTTCAGTCGAAAGAGTTTTACAATTAGCGTTGTCGCCCCCTGGACAATTGTAATGAATTATTGTGGCCCCCTTACTTAAAGGTATTTTTAAATGGCAGTATTGACTCTGTGGGTGTACTATAGTGCTATAGCCTGGCGACAGTGGCTCAGTTGGTAGAGCATTGTCCTTTGGGCCTGGAGGTTGTGGGTTCAAGCCCACCACGAGACCTACTTCACGACTTCCACTGATGACTGCTGTCGTTGTGTCATGGGGCAAGACACTTAACCCCACTTTCCCTGCTGAAAGATCAAGGCTCCCGAGGACTCGCCACCTGCAGGAGGATCAGTGAGGGGCTGGTGCTCTGTGGACTGGGTTCAGCTCTGACTGCCACCCCCCAACCCAGAAATGGACTAAGGGGAAGAAAATGGATGGATCTAGTATTTACTCTGTGGGTGTACTACAGTACTACAGCCTGCTTCTTGCTCTCGAGTTTGTGTCGGTGTCAATAGAGTGTTGACATATGATTGTGTACAATGCTCTGTTTGCTGAAATTTAAGGCGCATTTGCAGCAAAACGCATTATTAATTAAGGAGTGCTCTGTTTATTCTTTTCTTTTCTGTTCATTGAGCAGATAAACTAAACATATCAAATAGAACTGACTACATTCTACACATGTTTTCCTGCATATGCAAAACTGCCAGGCTCTTTTGTAATGTTGTTTTGTCAATCACCACTGTTTCTCTTGTAATAAAGAGTCTGAGGTAATATTATTCACAGCTATTTAAGTTTCTATTGATAAAGTCTATGACATCTGCAGTCATTAAAGACTCATAAAACCTCCTATTGGTTTATGCCAGGTTCCAACAATAATTAATGGATAACTGAATTAGTTGCGAACCATTTAAAACATTTAAACCATTCGTGGCCATATCTTCATGTGAAAGCCAGATCCTGTCAGGCCACTGAAGCTAAGCAGGGCTAAGCAGGGCAGGGCCTGGTTAGTACTGTGATGGAAGACCTCTGGGGACACCAATTGCCACAGTGGGCCGGCTGCGGCTGTAAAGTGCGAAACTGTGGTTGTGTCCTTAGCCAAGACACTTGACAATAGAATGAGTCTGGTGTGTGTGTTAATGGTTGGTGGTGGTGGGAGGGGCTGATGGCACAGACTGGTTGCCCCAGGGCAGCTTTGGCTACAGTGTAGTTGTTTATCACCGCTGTGTATGAAGTGAATGAATAATAACATGTGAAGAGTCTTTGAGTGTCCAAAAAGCGCTGTAGAAAAGGGATCATTTTATTATTAAACAATTGATTTAAGTTGTCTTTGCTCAGACTTTTTGCAGCCCTAATTTTGTATCAGTACATCCATATCAGTCGCTTTGTATTTGAAATGGTAATAAGTCCTTGTCTGTTAGAAAAATCTAAACGTTAGGACATTGTTGATAAAGATGTGGACTTTTTATGGGTTGATGTGATCAAAGAATATGAGGAGAGAGGAGAGTTCTCACTGCCCTGACTTCAGAGTCAAAATGCAGAGGATTTTTGAGATAAAAGTGGTATTTGCTCACACAAAAGACTTGAAAATTAATGAAATAGGGTGACATTAAACAAAGTTGTAAGAAGTGGTAAATGTTTGTCCTCAGACTAAAGCATTTGTCTCTGTCTTCTCAGGGGCGCGTTCTCCGTGGTGCGACGCTGCATGAAGGATTCCACTGGGCAAGAATACGCCGCCAAAATAATAAATACCAAAAAGCTCTCTGCCCGCGGTGAGTACACGGCATTCCCACGGCATTCCCACGCAGTCTGATAAGTCCCCACGAACCCTTATTACTGATATCTGTATTTTTAACAAATCTCTCGTTTCGGATGTTTTTACTTGTTCCTCGCAGCGGGACAATGACAGGTGACTGTGCTAGCTACAGCTTTGTGAGTCAGCCTCTGATTGGTCATGAGTCACTGTTTTCGGGCTTTTAAAAATGACATTTGGGAAGTGGTTGAAAGGCTGTCGTCATGGGAATATGCATATAAAATAGTTGGACTGGTATATAGATGGATTTTGAACAGTCTGGAGTCCATTTTATGTAACTTTATCTGTTCTTTGCTTTTGTGCTCTACCGTCTCACTACTAATTCATGCATTGGTGGGTTTGTTGAATTAGTTAATGGCTTTGTATTATTTAATCATCTGCTTTGTCTTACGCATGCATGGTTTGGCGGTTTGAATTAGAAGTAGAAAAATATGATCTGATTTAATGGTTTCTCATCTTGAACTCAAACCAAGACTTATTTCCCAATGTTCACATAACATTTGAGTTCTTTTGTCGTGGTGGTGTCACTTCACAATCACCATCAGACCATAAACAAATGTATTAGCACAGTTTTCTAGATCAGTCTCTAACCTGTAGCTTGGAAGCCACCAGTAGTTGCCACCCTCTTCCAGGAATTGAATACATGATGCTCAGTATTTCAATTTGTTTTCAGTACTCAGGGTGCTTGCGCAAGTCTTGACAGTCGTAATAAGTGTGGAATTTTGATACACTGTTTTCCAGACCTTAACAAGTCTTGAATGTTGTGTGAAAGTCTTAATAGAGCATGGGAAAAAAATGTATGGTTAAAAAAATGTACATTTCTAATAAACACAGTTGGTACAATCTCAACCAATGAAAAAGGCACTAGGCACATAAGTGTACAAGTACATACATTTAAGGAGGCAAGGATAAATGGTTTAATTGTATAGTTTTCAGGCAAGCCCATGGTTGTACTCTACATTTTCATTTAGACCACAAAAGGGAGTAGCTCTCTGCCATTTCTGTCTTGTTCAAGTAGCTCTCCTTTTTTGAAAGAAGTTGGAGACCCAGGATCTAGATGATTCAACGCTTATTATTGTTAAATTTGCAAATAATTAAGTAAACAGATTGATAACTAGAGGTGGGAATTGGCAAAAATGTGACAATTTCATAGTATTGCGATATTTGGGCCATAACTCAATATTATTGCAATTCTTTACATATGTAGATATGTAAAGAAGTATTATGCCAGTATTTTGCTTGTATTCTACAATATATTGCGATTCATGTCCCTCATATTATTCAAGTCACTCAAAAATTGAGGAAAATAAGACAAACTTAAAGGACAACTCACCCTCAAATCCACTTTTTTTTTGCTGATAAACGGTATAAATGAGTGTCCAATAGTGTTGTCTACATATCCTGGTCATAATCTTGTCACTTTGGTGCAAATTAGTTGAAAGTTAGACTTTCTGCCTAAAACCGTCTGTGAGGCGCCATCTGCTGGCGACCTGTATTACTACATTTGAATTTTGAATCTGGCGCCAACACTGGCACAGAAGTTGGACCTGACGTCTGCAAGTTGGACCTGACGTCAGCAGCCCCCCGCCCAGAGCAATGTAAACGGCCCAGTCTCGTTCACGCCCCCTTTAGTCCTCCAGGCTACGCCCATTTAGAGGAAGATTTGAACAGGAAATGTGAGTAACGTAAGCTCCGAGGAGCGGGGGTGAGAACCGCTTTAATAAACTTAGGAGGTTAGCGCAAAAACGTGTTTCTTGAACATTCAGGACACTGGATTTTATTACAGACAGACATTATTCTCTAATAGACAACTCTCACATGAACGGTGAGGTCCCAACACTTAAAGTATTCAAATATAATGGTATCAAAAAGCAGACATCATAGAGTAACGTAAAAACTCAGATGTAAAGTTCCAGGGTAAACTTAGAAAAAACACAAAAGTGAAAAAGATAATTATTTAATTGAATATTGCGATACTTTGCTGTACTGAACAGAATAGACCCCTCTTCACTACAGATTACATGTTTTATTTGCACCATATCATTGTAATATCCTGCTTTAGTGTTTTTAGTGTTGTGTGCACTCATTATACAGAAGGTTCTTTGCTCCATTCAGTTTTGTCTCTTTGCCCACGAGTACCTAGCCATTTGTTCTCCCATCATTATTGTTTTCCCGGCAGCGTGGGCTGTGGTGCTGCTTCCGATGTGAAGCTCCTGATTGATCCTTAATATACTGACCACAAACACACAGACACACACAGACACCAGTCCACAGATACAATAACAACTCATTGTGTAGAAGTGGATCACGTCATGCACACTAACCACTCAAACAGAATTAGTCACTTTACTTGCTGCTGTTATTATTATGTTTATTTTGGTCATATTCTTAGCTTCAACTTCCGGTTAATGAAGTGGTGGTCAGATATAATAATAATGCATCAGTTTTATATAGTGCTTTTCTGGACACTCAAAGACGCTTTACATGTCATTATTCTTTCACTCCATACACGGTGGTGATAAACTACTACTGTAGCCACAGCTGCCCTGGGGCACTGACAGAAGCGAGGCAACCAGTATGCGCCATCGGCCTCTCCGACCACCACCAACCATTCACACACACCAGACTCATTCTAGACAATGGGGGTGAAGTGTCTTGCCTAAAGAGACAACGGCAGTTTGGCACTTTACAGCCGCAGCCGCCCCACTGTGGCACCTGGTGTTCCCAGAGGTTAAGTGTCTTGCCAAGGACACAACGACAACGACAGTGGGAGTCAATGGTGAAGGTCGGGCTCGAACCCACGACCCTCTGGCTCAAAGGCCAATGCTCTACCAACTGAGCTACTGTCGCCCTGAACAATAACGAGATATACGAGATATGCAAATACCCGCCACTTAAGTTCTCAACACAAACTATCTTGTGTTACAATCAAACTTTTGCACTGCTAAACAAATGAAGGCTTGGAACAGCATGGATGCCTACAACTTTTTCGTTTGTGGATGGGTTAAGGAAGTCGGGGTTAATGTCTTGAAAGACAAATCCTGCATTGTATAATCACTGTTCATAACACTGAAAAGATCTGAATATAAATGAAGGCCAATGTGATTTACTAACGTTTAACAAAGTGATTGCCACAAACTCTGGTATTCTTTGACTCTGTTCCCTTCGAAGTCAAAGAAATGTAAGCGAGCCACAGTCCTTAGTGTATACAAGTGACTTATCCTTTAACAACCAACTCTAAATAATCAGCTGGTTGTTGATGACATTGGCCTCCAAGCAATATAAAACTTTAGTTTTCTATACTAGAAAACGGTAAGTTAGCAAAGGGATTGCCTTGGCATGTTTCCTCTTGAGGAAGATGGAAGTATGCTGTTGAAGCATGTCAAGGTAAAAACATCGCTAACATTGCATTTTAATACTATTGTTAGCTATTTTTAGAATTATCTATTAATTTGTTTGTATGTATGGATGGATGTGTTTCTGCTGCTACTGGACACATGAATTTGTCCTACGGGATCAATAAAGTATCTATTTATCTACAGTGTTTCCCACACATAGGCTTATCTGTGGCGGTGCGCTGTCATTGGGAGGTTCGGAGACAGGTTAGATTTGCGGAGAACAAGCCGAGAAGTAGAGAAGACAGCAGCAGGAGAGACACGTGTCTGGGCAGACTGCTCACAGCAGTATCATGATTTGCATTTTTTACTATTTCCCTGAACATTTCGAATGTCACAGCAGGGCTCGACATTAACGGTTGTTCGCTTGCCCGGGGCAACTAAAGATTTGGGACGGGCAAGTGAGCTGTTTTAGCAAGTTGCCCGGTCGGACAAGTGAAGTATTACTTTAACGCATTCAGGCCGCGAACACATTCCCGCAATTCTTTCTCTGGAGCCTGGAGCGGACACGTCTGATTTTCTTTTTTTGACCAATTGTCTTCAAAATGTTCCACGGATACGCAATTCCCGACTGTTTTCTGCTGACAATGTCGTTTCTGTGAAATGTATTACCGCGGGAACTTTCTGTTGTTTGCTGTACGGACTCAAACGGGATTTGCATCCTCCGCTCTGACCCCGGGAGCAGCTGCAGACCATAGACACGCTGACAGGACCATAGACACGCTGACAGGACCATAGACACGCTGACAGGACCATAGACACGCTGACAGGACCATAGACACGCTGACAGGACCATAGACACGCTGACAGGACCATAGACACGCTGACAGGACCATAGACACGCTGACAGGACCATAGACACGCTGACAGGACCATAGACACGCTGACAGGACCATAGACACGCTGACAGGACCATAGACACGCTGACAGGACCATAGACACGCTGACAGGACCATAGACACGCTGACAGGCCCATAGACACGCTGACAGGACCATAGACACGCTGACAGGACCATAGACACGCTGACAGGACCATAGACACGCTGACAGGACCATAGACACGCTGACAGGACCATAGACACGCTGACAAGACCATAGACACGCTGACAGGACCATAGACACGTTGACAGGACCATAGACACGCTGACAGGACCATAGACACGCTGACAGGACCATAGACACGCTGACAGGACCATAGACACGCTGACAGGACCATAGACACGCTGACAGGACCATAGACACGCTGACAGGACCATAGACACGCTGACAGGACCATAGACACGTTGACAGGACCATAGACACGCTGACAGGACCATAGACACGCTGACAGGACCATAGACACGCTGACAGGACCATAGACACGCTGACAAGCCCATAGACACGCTGACAGGACCATAGACACGCTGACAGGACCATAGACACGCTGACAGGACCATAGACACGCTGACAGGACCATAGACACGCTGACAGGACCATAGACACGCTGACAAGACCATAGACACGCTGACAGGACCATAGACACGCTGACAGGACCATAGACACGCTGACAGGACCATAGACACGC